TGTGATCTCAAGGCCCTCCTCCACCATCCTGGGGGCCCTCCTCCACCATCCTGGGGGCCCTCCTCTGGCCACTTTCCAGTATGTCAAATAGTCTGTGGACCCCAGAACTGAACTCAAATCTCCAAACGTGGGACAAGTCAGAGAACAGGAGACTTCTTACTTCCCTGGGCTTAGACATTACATCTCTTTCAATGCAATGTAAGATCACATTAGTATTCTGGGTTCCCTTATCCTAATGTTGACTCATATTGAGCTTACAGTCAATTAAAACCCCCAGATCTTTTTCTATGCCTCTTCTCTCTTCTACCTGTGAAATGTATTCTTTAACTCAAGTATATGTTAAATTTCATCATGTGAGATTCAACCAGTGTGCTACCATCTCCTATCAGTTTAAATTTTCAGTAAGAGCCTTTACTTCTCAGACATTGGCAAAGGCTGAAAATCAGGACTTGATTTATTGTCTTTTGATTCTCCAGATTTAAGAAGTGATGGAGAAAATGTTAATAACACAGATTAAAATTTAAAATGTGTTATGTGTACTTTTTTTTTGAGAACTGGTTGTTAAATATTTACTAAAATACTCCTGAATTCAACACAATGTTAATCCTGATTCTGCCATCCAACGTGGTGACTATCCTTCTAAACTTTATGTCATCTGGAAATCTGACAAGCTTGCTTTCTGTGCATTTTTCCAAATCATCCATAAAAATATTTGTCACCATAACTATATGCTTAGATCTCTGGAGCAAGACCTTTTCTGTTGATTTTGAACCATTACTGACAATTCTTTGAGTCTAGCCGTTCAACCAGTTCCAAAACTACCTAAGTAGGTGTAGCCAAGGAGGCCTGGAGGTGAAGAAAGTCAGTTTAGAAGTCAAGGAGTGGCTCAAGACTCCCTTGGATCAGTTTCAAAAAGTATTTTGTGCCCTGAAAAACTGCCAAGATTCAGCAAGGCTTAAGGCTCTGAATGAGATCTATTACATGCATCTAAATTGTACTAAGCTCTTAGTAGCAATAACTCATGTGGAACAGGATGTAGAGAGTTGAACTTACATCAAATCTTTCTCAGACACTTGTGTGACTCTGGAAGAGTAACTTAACTTCTCTGTGCCTCAGTTTCCTTTTCTGTAAGATGAAGGGTTTGGACTAGATGGCCTTTAAGATCCCTTCGAGCTCTAAAGCTATGAACCTATGCTGATTAATCCCATGATATTCACCATCCTAAAGAAGCTTCTCCAGACTTGCTACACTCTTGAACTGCTACACTCTTACATTCCTTTTTACCATCGAAGTTTTTGAAAGAAGTCTACATTCTTTTTCTACTTCCTCACCACCCATTCACTCTTCAGGCTCTTTTATTCTGACTTCTGACACACCTCTCCACTGAGACCTTTCCTCCAAAGATCTCCTAGGTAACTCAATTGATGACTCTTCACTGACCTCCCCGTGACATAAGGTAATGTTGATTGTCCCTTCAGGGTGATGTAGAGGCCAGGGGTTTGGGCTGGACCTCAGGTATGAATCATAACTGAGCTCTGCTATGAACTTACTGGGTCACCTTGGGCAGGGTGTGATTTTTCCATTTCTGCATCGTGGTTCTGTGACTGTGAAATAAAGGGGTCCAGGGAGGTAGTCTGTGAGGAAATGCCTTCACGTTTGTCTTTGTATCTCCAACCAATCAAACAAATAAGCATTTACTAGTCAGTTAATAAATATTTATTAAATGTCTTCTATATTCCAGACATTTTGCTAAGATATAGAGAAAGGAAAAAGATAATTCTTGCTCTCAAGGAGTTCACAGTTTAATGGGGAACACAACAAGCAAACAAATATGTAGAAATAAGATATAGACAGGATATATAGGAAATAATCAACAGAAAAAAGGCACCAGAGTTGAAAGAAAGGCTTCTTGTAAAACGATAGAATTTAGCTGAGATTTGAAGGAAGTCAGGGAAGCCAGGAGGCAGAAATGAGGATGAAAAGTATTGCAGGCATGTGGGACAGCCAGGGAAAATGTGTGGTGTCAGGAGATGGAGGGTCTTACACAACAGGACAACTGGGCCCATACCCCAAAGAGATCAAAGAGAAAAAAACAATACATACCAAAATATTTATAGCAGCTCTTAAGGGAATACTTGTCAATTGGAGAATGGCTGAACAAATTATGGGATACTCATGTATGGGGATACATTGGTGCCATAAGAAAAGATCAGATGGTTTCAGAGAAATCTGGGAAGATTTGAAATGATGCAGAGTAAAATGAGCAGAAATAGGGGAACAATTTTTTACTACAACACCACTGTAAAAATGAACAATTTTGAAAAACTTAAGAATCCTGAGCAATGCAATGATCAGCCATGGTTCCAGAGAATTGATCTCGGCAGATGGACCATCTTCCGACCGAGAGACCATTATGATGGACTAACGTGCACAATGAAACGTGTCTTTTTGGACATGAGTGATGCAGGAATTTGTTTTGCTTGACTATGCGTATTTTCACAAGGGCTCTTCTTTTTCTGAGGTGAGGTGAGCAGGAGAGAAAATAGATTTTTTGTTAGGTGAAAAGAAAAATCCAAACCTAAAAAGCTTTGGTTTTCATTTCCAGTATGGGGTGTATGGGCTGTATGGGGTATACAAGGAAGACTAGCACCTCTGGTGTAAGGTCTTGCTGAGCTCTTTTCAGGGCTGCTCATCTACCTTTGGTGTCCACCTGCCACCCACCTTTCACCTGTGGTTCCAAGAATGTAGCATGTGCAGTGGCCACACCCCTCTCAAACTATGTGGGCAGACTGGTAAACCAGGGTGAGGGTAACTGACAAGCCTCCTATCCGTTGGTAAGTTAAGGGGGTGTCTACCCCAAGTGTGTGAAGATTCCCCAGTGGAGTGGGTGGATGAGAACAATTTGTTCCAATGTCAATGAACGTTATAGAAGCAGGTACTGCAGAGCACTTAGAGCTTGGTCAGACATGGAAGACACCAAGGGCATCCACTGGAAGGCCATCACCAGTCATCTTAACTTTTGTCTTGCTGCTGGACTTCAATGACTCTGAAAGAGAGAGTGAGGCTGATGGCTTTGTACAACTCTGCCTCACTTAAATCCAATTCATTCGAGAGTCAAGACATCATCCTGTGATCTCATTGGTCCTGTTTGAAAATGAAGGATGACCTAGCCAATACACTGAATGTGTCTGACAGTACGTTGTTTGTCCTGAGTCTGAAACCCACCTCACATACTTCCTAGCTGAGTTACTCTGAACTAGTCTTTAGCTTTTCTCAGCCTCAGTTTCCTCATCTGTAAAGTGTGGACAATAATAGCACCTTCCTCCTAGGTTGTTGTAAAGATAAAATGAGGTAATAGATAAAGCACTTTGCAAATTTTAAAGTACCATGTAATTAAATGTTAGCTTTGCTATTGGCCTCAGTTTCCTCCCCATCTATAAAACAGAAAAATTGATCAGATACAACATTGCTTGAACTGAGTAACTCTTGGCCAGGATTGGCAGTCTCTTTGTTTCAGAGACTGTATCACCGTCCTACATCCCCCACTCTCCCCAGAGACCTACGTGGGAGAGCGGAGAGTGTGTCCTCCAAGATTTTGGGAAGAAATGTTTGCACTATTGTTCTTCTTCCGTCTTCCATGTAAGTGGTTCAATGGAAGTGAACAGCTAATCATTAGCACCTAAAGGGGAGGAGTGAGAGGGGAAAATGAAACTGGTTTCCCCTATCCCACTTAGGTTCCCAGGCAGACTATATCACTGAAATAATATTCAGAGTCATTTGGATTTGACCCATCCTGGCTGACTCCAAGTCACATAACTTTTCTGTGCCTCAGTTTCCTCATCTCTGAGATGGGAATAACATTCCCTTGCCCTAAGAAACCCAGAGGAATATGGTATAGGTCAAATTCTATCATATGTAGATTGAAGAGGGAAGCTGATTTATATCCATACTCTGTCATGTCACTTCCCTTCCTAGTACCCCAGTGATTTCCCAATGCCAAACCTTTAGGTAAACCTGGGCTTAAATTCTAGCAGCTTAATTATTTGCCACCCATGTGATGTTGGGCAAATTATGACCTTTTCATGTCTCACTTACTTCCTCTGAAAGGAAAAGGTTAGACTAGATGATCTCTAAGCACTTTCGAGCTGTACCCCTAGGAGAGGAAGCCTCTGCTCTCAAGTTCTTGAGAGGAGGCTTGCTGTGCAAGAGGCAGGAAGAAGGGGAGGGTATTTGTTATTTTTAAGTCATGTGGAAGAAGGGTAAAAGGGATCCCTTTCCCCTATGGAAACAGCTCCTTCTGATTTTCCTGATTTCTGAGAATGGCAACACCACCATCCTGGTGATCTAGTTTCAAAACCCCAGCAGGTGGACCTATAAGGAATGAGTGGAATTGTCTTAACGGCAGGAAGAGCTTCCTAAGAATGAATGCTATGTGGAATGGGCCACCACAGAGAGCAGAGAGCCGTAGATTTGCAGCTGGAAGAAAATTTCAAAGTCCAACCCCACTATGTTACAGATGAGGAAAAAGAGGCTGAGAGGCCCAGTGACATGCCCAAGGTCACACAGGTAGCTTACGGAAGGCAGAGGATTAAAACCCAGGTTCTCTCACTCCCAATCCAGCAGTCTCCATCATACCATCCTCCTTGGAGACAGTGTGATCCATGGGAAGAATGCTGGATTTGAGAACCTCAAAAGGTTTGTTTCTCTCCCCCTTGGTTTTTTCTTAGTATGCATTTCAGGGTATGTGTTTCTGTGGGTATGTATATATTTTTGTGCGAATCTGGGACAGTGTAAATAGGGATCTCCCTTGCTGGAGGTCTTCAAACAAAGCCAGTATGACTATTTGTGAAAATCAAATGTGATTATTTATAGAAGGAAAGGGAGAGAAACCACACCTGTGATTTTATTGATATAAGGAACTCCCAGGTGGGAAAACTCTACCAATGAGGGTAGGTACTGTTTCATTTTTGTCTTTTTAAAAACCAGATTGAGAAGCGGAATGGTATACCAAGTTCAATTCCAAATGTGGCGTCAGCATTGGATAAGTCTTGTCTCAGCTACTGCGGGGCTGGGTCCCAAAGGTCTCTCCAGAAGGTCACTCCTTGCTACTCAATGCTGGGATGACTGCAAAGCTTGGATGGTGGAATGCTGCTCTCCTGATCTTCTGAAACTCACATGGTCCAAGTCTCCAATCATCTCTTCACCTAAGATGAAAAAAAGCAAATACTCACACAGGTCACAAGTTGGCCTCAGCTGGAATTGCCCAGAACCTCTCTCCAAGTATGCTGTCTCACTGAACTCCATCAGTGGAGTCCAAGAAATCCACCAAGAAAACAGTCAAATGGAAAGATGGCTGACACTCTGGTTGCTAGTTCTTGATAAATGTCTCTGAAGTCACTTTAAGAGTCCCCTCTGCCCTATGTGGTCAACTGACCAGAACCGGTTACTGAGCGTCTCTTGACTGGGGCACCAAGGTCTCTCTAAGGCCCTTCCACACATCACTGTGATTAGCCCAGAAATGGGCTCCCTAGACTTTTCACCTGGGGAAACACATGGGCCTGTGCCAATGCTCCTTACAAATACAAAGTCATTTCGAAAGGGAGAAGCATTAATAACTTGGGGAGAGGCTAGGAGGGGCCCCCTGAGCTGTGCTTTGAAGGAAGCTAGGATTTGGAAGCAAGGGTACGTATTTCAGCTATGGGCTAATGGGGAGTACTACTGGTGCATAGGAGCTCAGGTGGGAAGTGGAATATTATAGGATCCCTTTGTTTTCCATAGGATGATAGCTGCAGAGCAGGAAAGGACCTCAGAGGCCATCATGTATGGGGAATAGCTACCAGGGCAATTTGCTTATAAGGGAAAGTATGGGAAGGGGAGATATTAGGTGGGAGTCCTGGGAGTCAGGGCCTTCGATGCCATCCTCAGGCAGAGAGTTTTCTGTTTTACCTTAATGACATTGGGGAACCATCCAAGATTTTTTTTGGAGTTGAGGTGATATGGTAAGACATGGGTGAAACACTCCAAGTTCTCTACCAACTCAGATGCTGTGATTCTGTGCACAACGGAAGGAATAAGGGGCAGGAGGGTAACAACAGTAACAACACTTAGTATTTATATAGTGCTTTAAAGGTTACAAAGTACTTTACAAATATTATCTCATTTTATCCTCACAACAATCCTGAGAGGTTGGTGCTGTTATTACCCCCATTTTACAGTTGAAGAAACTGAGGCAGACAAGGGTTAAGTGACTTACCCAGGGTCACACAGCTAAGTGTCCGAGGTTGAATTTGATCTCTAGCCCTGCTGACCCCAGGCCCAGTGCTATATGCACTATGGAACTACCTAAATGCTTTTAGGAGAAGAGAGAGGGTCAGGCTCGGAAATGGATCTATAGTAAAAAACTGCTCTCTGAACAAAGCCAGGAAACCAAGCTAATTATCATAAGCATGTGCCTGAAGAATTCTTCCACAGAGGATGGGAACCAAGTGTTTCTCAGCTTCTCTGGAAACCAAACAGGAAGACATGGGTGTGAATCATTTCAGGAATGAATATGGTTATATAGGATCCTGGGGTCATAGCTGGAAGAGACCTCAGATCCCAGGCAGGCCACTCTTTCATTTTACAGTTGAGGAAACTGAGGCCCAGAGTCACACAGATAATGTTAAAGGTGAGGCTTGATATTCCTCAATTGACAAATGGTCAAAGGATGTGAACAGGCAGTTTTTAGAGGAAGAAATTAAAGCTATCTATGATCATATGAAAAAATGCTCTAAATCACTATTGATTAGAGAAATGCAAATTAAAACAACTTTGATGGGTGTGAACCCATCAGATTGGCTAATGTGACAGAAAAGGAAAATGATAAATGTTGGAGAAGATGTGGGAAAATTGGAACACTAATGCATTATTGGTGGAGTTGTGAACCGATCCAACCATTCTGAAGATCGATTTGGAACTATGTCCAAAGGGTAACTCAACTGTGCATATCCTTTAATCCAGCAATACCACTACTAGGTCTGAATCCCAAAGAGATCATAAAAAAGGGAAAAGGACCCACTTGTACAAAAATATTTATAGCAGTTTTTTGTGGTGGCCAAGAATTGGAAATCGAGGGGATGCTCATCAATTGGGGAATGGCTGAACAAGTTGTGGTATATCAATGTACTATTACCATTGTACTATAAGAAACGATGAACAGACAGATTTTAGAAAAACCTGGAAAGACTTACATGAACCGATGCTGAGTGAAGTGAGTGGAACCAGGAGAACATTGTACACAGCAACAGCAATATTGTGTGATGATTAACTATGATTGACCTAGCTCTTCTCAGCAACACAATGATCCAAGACAATTCCAAAAGACTTGTGATGGGAAATGCTGACCATATCCAGAGAAAGAACTATGGAATCTGAATGCAGATCGAAGCATACTATTTGCTCTTTTTTTTTCTTTTTCATGATTTTTCCCTTTTGTTTTGATTCTTCTTTCACAACGTGACTAATGTGGAAAGATGTTTAACATAATTGTACATGTATCACCTATGTCAGATTGCTTGGTGTCTTGGGAAAGGGAAGGGAAGGAAGGAGGGAGAAAAATTTGGAACTCAAAACTTTGCAGAAATGAATGTTGAAAACTACCTTTTCATGTAATTGGGAAAAAAATAAAATACTATTAAGGGAAAAAAAATAAGGTGGGACTTGAGCCCAATTCCACTGACTTCAGAGCCAGGGGTATTTCTGTGACACCGCGCCACATAATATTAACTTGTATTTATGTCATGGTCGATGGAATCCCTTCATCAAAATGACCCCATGATATACAGTGTGCTGGTATTATTTTCACCATTTTACAGATAAAGAAACTGAGACTCAAAGAAGTAGTTTGGTGTCATGGAAAGAATCCTAGATCTGGAATAGTGCTAGAGTTTGGATCCTGGCTTTGCCACTTACTACTTGTGTGACCTTGGACAAGTCATATCACTTCTGTGAGCCTCGGTTTCATCATCTGTAAAATGAGGAATTGGACCAGGCAACATCTAAGGTCCCTTCCAGCTCTAATCTATAATCCTGTAATTTACTCAGAGTTTCATAGCTAGTAGATGTCAGAATCTAGGATCAACATTGTTCTTTCCCCCAAGTTGCCCCAGTTCACGAAACTTTCCTCACTCATCTCCCTATGTGTACAGTCTCTCTCTCACTCAATGTCCCCCACTCTGTTCAGTTACTGGAAGGGGAAGGAGGGAGACAGAGAGAGAGGCTATTACCAGGCTCTGGTTCACGTTGTTCGCCTCTTCCCGTTACTTTGGGGCATGAGTCAGCAAGCATCCTGGTCAGAGCAGAGTTCTGCTGAGTAAAGAGCTAAACACACACACACACACACACACACACACACACACACACAAACACACACTACTCATTTCCAAACAAGTCTTTGGAGAGGGTGGAGGGTACTAGTGAGTGCATATGTTGAACTGTGACCCAAGCATTCTCTGCTAGGCTTAAAGGGGACCCAAGAGCTAAGACTCAAAGCCTTGAATCAACAGACTCTGATCATTCACCCAGGGAGCCCTGGAGGGCTCATCCGACACTGAACTGACTTACAGGAGAAAATGGAGCTGAATCCTCTGACCTCTTCCCTCTCCAATCCATTTTCCACACCACCGCTAAGTTCATTATACCTGTTGCCTAGGTCTGATCATGCCACCCCTCAGATCAAGAAGCTTCAGCGGTTTCCTCTAAAATGAAATCTAAACTGCTTTGTCTGGCTTTCAAGGCTCTTCACAAAGAGAGCCTCAAACCTATTTTTTCCAGCCTGGTTACGCATTACTATCCTTTAAGTGCTAGACATTCTAGGCATACTAGCTTACTTGAAGTTCCAATATGATATTCCACCTCCCACTTTCTTGCCTTTGCACAGGCTGTATCTCCTGTCTGGCATGCTCTCCCTCCTCCCCTCTACCTTTTGGAATCTCTAGTTCCCTTCAAAACCTTGCTCAAGTGCTCACTCCTATATGTAGCACTTGATCCCGACACATACTGGGCGTTACTCCCCCCCCCCCCCCACTGCCCTGGCCAATGTCAATGCTCTTCCTCTGTGAATTTACTTTTTAATTAGCACTGGGAGGCAGCCAGTGGATAAAGTGCTGGAATTAGAGACAGACCTGAGTTCATATCCAGCCACAGATACTTACTGGCTGTGGGCAAGTAACTAAAACCTCTGTCTGCCTCAGTTTCCTCATCTATAAAATGTGGATAACAGTACCTACCTCTCATCAGTACTGTGAGGATCAAATAAAGTAATATTTGTAAAGCACTTTGTAAACTTCAAAATGCCTTATATGTTGGCTAGCATATTGGTATTCATTTTGTTTTCATTTATCTTTACACATTAAAGACTTTTCCCCTGGGTTTCCCCACAATTTAAGGACTTAAACTCCTTAAGGCCAAAGACTGCAAGGTTTTTGCTTTTGTATTCTCCAGCACTTAGTAAAGTGCCTGGCACATAGTCCCAATTTAATAAATGCTGGTTGAACAGACTGGAAAAGAACTGAATAGAATGGAATTGAGTAGAATAGACTGGAATGGAACAGAACGGAAAAGCTGGGAACTGAATAGAATAAACAAGATGTGATGTGCTATAATACAATAAGACAGGACAGAATAGAGTAGGATAGGATAGGGTAGGGTAGGATACAATAGAATAGAGTAAAATAGGATAGGGTAGTATAGGACAGGGTAGAGTAGGAGAGGTAGGATAGGGTAGATAGGATAGGATGGATAGGATAAGATAGGATAGGATAGGACAGGATAGAATAGGACAGCACAGGATAAGATAGGATAGGATAGCACAGGATAGGATAGGGGAGGGGAGAGAAGGGGAGGATAGGCTAAGTTAGGAAGATAGGATAGGGTAGGATAGGCTAGGGTAAGATGGAATCAAATAGAAAAGAATTGAAAGAAAGCAATAGAACAGAACAAGGCAGCTTTGATCCTGCAGGAGGTGGCTACTTGCTGAAGATCAATCACACTTTATTGGGGCTTCATTCCCAGGGAGTTCTGTTCTCTAAGGAAAAAGTGGAGAAAGTAATGTGGAGAGTAACAGATAGAGGGGAAGAGGCAGCTGGCTCCTTCATATACCTTAGAGCAAGCTGGGTTTTAAATGTTGCCCAAGCAGCCCACTCTATGGGGTGGGCTCAATCATGAAAGGAGGGTGCCCTTTTCAACTTGAAATCACTTTATTTTTAAATTGACCAAAGATAAGGAAGGTCCTTTCCAATGTAGGTCTGGGCACTCAGATGAAGTACATAGTAGAACCTTGGGCTGATGTCAGGGTACAAACAAGGCACTGATCCCATCCAGTCCTAAACCCTTGTCTCTAGTACCCATCTCCCCCAATATGGGGCAGATATTGCTTCCAGATAAAGTATAGAAATATTCACGAACATTTAAAAGGCCTCTACTCTAGGGACTAGTGCTTAATCCTACCCCCTACTTTGAGGCCATGCCTAATGGACCCTCAAAATGCCCTCATATCTCTGCACAAACTTGCAAAGCCCCCTGCCCATCCCTCTACATGATATTTAAGAACCTGGTAATTTCCAAAGTTTAGAGGTCAGGAGACTGGATTTCCCCCTCCCCAACAAAAAGTCACTTCCCATTTTCTTGTCTTCTGGAAGCAGAATCCCTGGTCCTGGCTTTGGACATATAACAAAATAACAATAAGAACACCATTAGTTAACAATTATATGGCGCTTTAAGATTTGCTAAGCATTTTACAAATGTTAACTCCTTTAAGCCTCACAACTCTGGGAGGTAGGTGCTATTATTCTCCTCATTTTTGCAGATGAGGAACCTGAGACAGATAGAGGTGACTTGCCCAGGGTCTTATAGCTGTCATTTATACAGTACTTTAAAGTTTTCAAAATGCTTCGCACACAGCATCTCAGTGAAGCCTCACAACAGTACAGTAGGGACAAAACACACACACACACACACACACACACCCCAGATTTGATTTCATTGGCGTTAGGAACTCCTGATGAGGAAATCACCTTCTTCTTGATAAGATGTAGCCTTATAGAGTCTCGCAGGGGCGGTCACTGGCAAGTCATGTGACATGTGGAGACTTACCCATGAAGGCAGCCACTGTGTGAAGAGGTGAGGCTTAAACCTAGGTCTTTTGAACTCTAGCCTTGCTTTCTGACTACTTTGTCACATTGCGTCTACAGATAGTATTATCCCTGTTTGACAGATGAGGAAAATGAGGTTCATAAAGGTAAAGTGATTTGTCCATGCTTACACAATTAATAAGTGGCAGGGCAGATTTGAATTATGGGGGTGGTGGTAGTGGTGGTAGTGGTGGCAGTAGTAGTAGGAGGAGGAGGAGGAGGAGGAGGAATGGTGGTGGTAGTAGTGGTAGTGGTAGTAGTGGCAGTATAGTGGGGATGGTGGTAGTAGTAGTAGTAGTAGTAACAGTAGTAGTAGTAGTAATAGCTAGCATTTATATGGCACCTACTGTGTGTCAGGCACTATGCTAAGTGCTTTCATCTCATTTGATCCTCAAAATAACCCTGTGAGGTAGGTGTTATAAAGCCCATTTGACATATAGGAAACTGAGGCAAATAGAGGTTAAGTGACTTGCCTAAGGTCACTCAGATAGTAAAGGGCTGGAGGCCTCATACAAGTCATTAAGAGACATGGGAGGGGCGGTTTCAAGATCTGCCTTTGACACATATTGGTTGTGTGATTTGGGTAAGTCACTTACCTTTCTAAGCCTCTTATTTCCTCATCTGTTACAGAGAGACAATCCCAACTTTATTTGCCCCGTAATTGGGAAGATCAGATGAAATAATGCATGTAAAGGGATTTTAAACCTGAAAGTGTCATTTCAGTTCCAAATTCTCTCTCTCCCTCCTCCCTCTCACCATCTATTAAGAAGGCAAGAAATACAATACTCATTATACATATGAAGTCATTCAAAACATATTTTCATATTAACTACATTCTAAAGGGAAAAAAAAGTAAAGAGAAAAAATATGCTTCAATCAGCGCTCTGAGTCCATCAGTTCTCTTTCTGGAGGTGAATAGCATATTATCATCATGACCTTTGGAATTGTGGTAGATTAATACATTGATCAGTTAGTCTTTCACAACTAGATTATCTTTACAATGTTACTGTTTCTGCTTACATTGTTCTCCCGGTTCTGCTCACTTCACTTCGCATCAGTTCGTATACGTCCTCCCAGGATTTTTAGAAATCATCTCCTTTGTAATTTCTTATGACACGATAGTATTTGATCACATTCATATACTGTAACTTGTTCAGCCACTCCTCAATTGATGAGCACCTGTTTCCGATTCTTCTCCATCACAACAAGAGCCAGCAGGTGGGATTTTAACTGAGCCTGGAAGGAAACCAGGGAAGTCAGGAGTCATGGGGGATGGCCTGGGAAAATGGACAGGAATTAAGAGATGGAAGGACAGTGTCATTGTACTGAAGACTATGTGGAGGAGTATAAGATGTAGAAAGGCTGGAAAAGGGGGACAATTAATGAAGCTCTTTTAAAGCCAAACAGAGGATGTTATATTTGATCCTGGAGAAAATGATGAGCCACTGGAGTTTCTGGTAATGCTGTTTCTATGGGCTCTAGAGCATTAGAAACCCCCAAATATGGGTTCCCAACACTATGATATAAATGTCACCACATCACAACCGCAATCATTATGGACATGTTTTCTACTCAGTAAAATGTCAACTGTATCATATAGATTGGCAGAATGTATTAGAGCTACCCCAAAATTGAATGAGCTGCCTGGGGGCATTGACAGGTGGGTTGCCCTCACTGGAGGTCTTCAGATAGAGAGGGCAGATGACCCCTTGTGAAGCACAGGAATTCTTTTGAAGCATTGGTTAGTCTATAGAGTAACCCAAGTACCTTCCCTTCCTTTAAATTCTGTTATTGTGTGAAACAGTAATCTGGTGGCCTCATTACCCTCGAATATATTCACACAGGTGTGAAGTTCTTCAAGAATATTTCCCCCTTAATCATCAGTTTTCTTGCCAGCTCAGTCTTACCAGTTTTTTGTTTTCTTCTGTATTAGTGGAAGTCCCGGTTTCCACCTCTCTTCTGGTGAATAGCTAGGTGTTAAAATAAAATTCACATTCAACTGTTTTGGTAGCAACCAAATTCTCAAGTCAGAGAATTGTCGAGAGCTGGAAATGACTTGGGTGGCCATTACTAGATGGCTTGCCCAAAGTCACAGGGGTAGAAACAAAAAGTGTCCTGATTTGAATCTGCCCGTTGAAAATGGCATATTCTGTGCCGTTCCTGCTACACTACAGAATAGCCTTGTTCATCTCCTTTCCTTCCACATACATCTTTTCTGACAATTCTCTAGGGCAAGTCATCCTTGATGTTATGCTGCAGGCATGCTTACACCCAGCAAGTAGCTAATACGGCCCTCATTTTAAAGATAAGCAACGGGGAAGTCCCTGTCCAAGGTCATACATGTCTAAGTGGTAGAACCTTGGTCTTCTCATCTACCTGCTATTGTGGGCAGCTTCTGTTCATTCATACAGGGCAGATCCTCTAGGTCCCAGAGTCTCAGAGGAGAGATGTGCCAGTTCTGGGCCGTGGGCCACATCAGGAAGGATCAAAGGAGGTGGGGAGGGGGGTAAGGAGGGGAAGATGTACTTGAACCGACAGGTTCGAGATGATTTAATTTCCTAACACTCCCAAACCTCCGTTCGCACTGTACCCCCTCCCCACCACATGCTGGCAGGGGAAGAGATCATTTGTAGAATATTTAGTCTAGCTTCCGATTGGAGGGGAGGGCAAGGCAGAGGAAGAAAGGGGAGCGTCCCTGGGCTCTGAGTCTAACTCTTAGGGCGGGTTTGTAACTTGTACCTCCCCTGGAAGGCAGAACTCTCCCGCCCCCTCTAGTTGCCTGCTGTTTCTGCCCCAGGCTGCAGCTTTCGCTTTCTGTCCAAGGAGTGGAGCAGGGCGGCTCTTCCTAGCCCAGACCGCTGTGGAAGCCGCCTCCCTAACGTGCAGTGCTCCGCCCCGTTCCACTCCGGGATGGAGCCCGCCACCGCCGCCTGGATTACTTTCGCCGTCGGATTTCTGCTCTGGGCACTGGGGGACGCGGTGCCCGTCCAGGTGGGTGGCTGCACTTCATCTCTGACTTCTGCCGCGCCTTTTTCTTCTCTTCCCCTCATTGGGATAGATAGAAACCATACACATCTCCAAGTCAGCCCTGCACCCCCTCCCACTCAGTCCTGCTCTCCTCTCTCCTTCTCTGTAGAGGCAAGGGCCCTGGATCTGAGGTTAGGGGACCTGAGTTGAATACCAGCTCTGCTGTTTACGAGCTGAGCGTTCTTAGACAAGTTACGCAACCTCTCTGGGCTTTTCTCTCTCACTTTCTTCGTCTAAGATGATGGGGTTAGTTTCGATAGCTTTTAAAGCTCCATACCGGCCCTCCCAGGCAGGAGCCTCTGGGGGGAGTTTAGCACCCCTCGAAAGTCTTCCCAATTGCAGCCGCTTCGATGCGGCTCCCGGGGATGTGCGTCTGGGGCTCCCGGGGATGCGCGTCTGGGGCTCCCGCTGGACGCTGATTGTAGATCAGCCTCCCCCCCTACCCCCACCCAGGAGGTCTTCGTGGGGCTCAACCGCGGGGCCGGAAAATCGGGTCTGGCTGGGCCGGGGGCTCCCCGTGACAGTGCGGTCTCAGCGGGACCTCGGGGGCTGAGCGAGCATTAAATTATACGCCCTCCGAAGCTCTGTGCTGGAGCCCGGAAAGCGTGGGTTTGGATCCTTGCGCTGACGCTTGTGCGCACAGTGCCGACGGACAAGTCCTTAATGTTTCTGGGCCTTGGTTCCCCCTTCTATAAAATGAGGCTGACGATAGTGAGAACAGTTCATGTACTCCCTCCCGCCCAAGACTGTTTTGAGGGAAGTTTGGTAAATTTTGAAAAGTCTCATAAAAACGGGAGTTGAAGCCGGTAAGCGCTCTCCAGGGTCCAACATCTGTCTGCCCACAAGGTTGAAAGTCTCCGGGACGTTGGTTGGCGTTGTAGAGTAACCTTCATCGGCTGCACCCAGGGGCTAGGGGGCCCCTAGAGCTGAAACGCCTGGCAGGTCCTTTTCATTCTGCCCCCTCATCTCCCCCGACTCACTCCCAAGTTGCTGAGATTGGCCTGGATTTCGAGGGTTATGTTTTCTCCAGCTGCCCGCGGCTCCCCGATGGTTTCTTTCTGACTGAGGGGAGGCAGCCCCTTTCATCTCGTATCTGTTCCGGGGTGATCCGCACTTCACAGATCACACCTGGGGCCATCAAAGCCCAGATGTCTTTGCTCTTCAAGACATGTATTTCCTTTGCCCTACGTGAATATTCTTCCTCTTTCTTAGAATACCTAGTTATTGTGTGTTTATAAGACGGGAGAGAGATCTATAGACCGAGACAGAGAGAGATAAAGAGAGACTGAGACCCGAGAGTCAGAAAGACTGGGAGAGGGATAAAAACCGGGACAGACAGATACAGAAACATACACAGAAACAGACTCGGACCGAAACGAGAGAGATTGAGATAAGAGGGGCTGAGACTGGGAGGGAGGGAAAGGAAGAAACAGATAAGAATTCTTGACCCTGAGAGATGCATAAATATTTTGTTCTCTTGGGTCCTTATTTTTAATCTTAGAATTATTCATTGTCAGAGCTGGGAGGGCCCTTAGAACATAGTAATAATAATAATAAGAAGAAGAAGAAGAAGAAGAAGAAGAAGAAGAAGAAGAAGAAGAAGAAGCAGCTATGTGGCCTTGTAAGGTTTGCAAAACCCTTTATATACGTTATCTCTAAGATTATTAATGATCTGTTGTCAAATCCAGTGGCCTTTTCTCAATTTCCATTCTCCTTGAACTCTCAGCAGCCTTTGACATTGTTGATCACTATCTCCTCCTTGACACTCTCTTCTGTCTAGGTTTTTGGGACACCTGTCTCTCCTGCCTCTACTCCTGCTGTGTCTTCTTTGCTTCATCTCCTCCAGATTAAGCCCCCTGACTGTGTCCCTCAGGGTTCTTTCCCTCTTCTCTTCTCAGTTTATACTCTTTCACTTGGTGATCTCATCAGCTAACATGGATCTGTCTTTGTCTCTGGCTCTCTCTCTGTCTCTGTCTCTCTCTGTCTCTGTCTCTCTCTGTCTCTGTCTCTGTCTCTCTCTCTGTCTCTTTCTCTCTCTCTCTGCTGATGATTCTCAAATCTACCTATCCTGCCCCAACTCTCTGCTGATTCCCACTATTGCATCTCCAGGTGCCTTTCACACTTGTCTAACTGGATTGTCCAGCAGACATCTTAAACTCAATATGTCCAAAACAGAACTCATTATCTTCCTTCCTAAACCATCCCCTTTCCCATGTTCCCTATTACTGTAGAGGTCCACACCATCCTCCCAGTCCCTCAGGCTCAAAACCTAGGAGTAATCCTGGATTCCTTGCTATCTCTCATCCCCCACATACAATCTGTTGCCAAGGCCTGTTGACGTCACTTCTGTAACATCTCCCAAATTTGACCTTCCTCTTCTCTGACACCGTCCCCACCCTGATGTTGACCCTTATCACCTCATGCCTGGGTTAGTGAAATAGACTGCTGGCTCTGTCTGCCTTAAGTCTCTCCCCACTCCAATTCATCCTCCATTCAACTACTGAAGTGATTTTCCTACAGTGTAGGTCCAATCATGTCACACACACCCATACCCCCCCCCCCCCATAAACTTTAGTGATTCCCTATGGCATCCAGGGGCCAATACAGAATGCTCTGTTTGGCATTTGCCCTTTCTAACCTAGCCCTCTCCTACCATTTTGGTCTTCTTACACCGGACTCCCCAGGATGTTCTTTTCGATCCAATGACACCGGCCTCCTGGCTGTTGCATGAACAAGACAAGACCCTTGGATAACTGGACTTTCTCTCTTGCTGTCCACCATACCTGAAATACTCTCCCTCCTCCATTTCAACTACTGACTCCCTGGCTTCCTTCAGGTCCTAGCTGAAATCCCACCTTCTGCAGAAAACCCTCCCCAACTCCTCTTAATTCCAGTGCCTTCCCTTTGTTAATTATCTCCTTTTTATCCTGTATATAACTTACTTTATATATATTTGTTTGCATGCTGTCTCCTCCATTAGAATGTAAGCTTCTTGAGGGCAGGGGCTGTCTTTTGCTTCTTTTTGTATCCCCAGTGCTTAGCACAGTGTCTGGTGCATAGTAGGTGCTTAATAAATGTTTGTTGGTTGATCTCATTTGATCTTCACAGCAACTCTGTGAGGTAGGTGCTGTAATTATCCCCATTTTACTGAAGATTAAACTGAGGATGAGCGAGGTTGAGTGACTTGCCCAGGGTCACCTAGTAAGTGACTGAGGCAATCTTCCTGGCTCCAAATCTAGCAGTCTAACCACTGTGCTACCCAGCTGCCTAGGCCATAGATTGTCTGAGGCAGAATACAGAATATTAGAATACAGAATATTAGAACTGGAAGGGATCATAGGGCAAAAGATCAGAATTGGAAGGAACACTAGAAATTATCTATTCCTGTCTGTCATTTTGCAGATAAAGAAATTGAGACCTGTTTTTGCCTGTGTGATCTTTATATACATATATATACATATATATGTGTGTGTGTGTATATATATATATATATATATATACATATAAACATTTATTGGGGCAGCTAGGTGGTGCAGTGGATAGAGCACTGGCCCTGAAGTCAGGAGGACCTGAGTTCAAATCCGGCCTCAGACCAAACACTTGAAACTTACTAGCTGTGTGACCCTGGGCAAGTCACTTAACCCCAATTGCCTAAAAAAAAAAATTATTAAGCACCTACTATGTGCTAGAGCAGACCTGCACAACTTGGCAGTGGATAGGAGCCAAAATTAAAATAGGCTAACCTTCTTCAGGCTGCAGATAGGTTTTTAGCAGCTCACTTTCCAAGTAAAGGTGTAATTAATGATTAAACTATTTTGCAAATAAATCATTGAAAAAAGGGGAAATTTCAATTAATATCAATTAATAACACTTATTACTTAAGATTTTTATTTATCATGAAATCGCTTCTCTCAGACTAGAGACAGATTGACGATAGTTGGTTGCTGTGGGTCATGTGACAAACAGGAGGGAGTGCGCAGTGGCAACCCGCCCGCCAAGTTACATGGTGGACACAATAGTGACTAGTGGAAGGTGGGGTTTTTGTGGGCTGCCTGAAATCCTTTGGTGGGCCACAAGCTGCCCGCAGGCTGTGCGTTGTGCAGGCCTGTGCTAGGGGCTTTACAAGTATTATCTCATTTGTTCCTCACAATAACCCTGGGACGTAGGTGCTGTTATTATGCCCATTTTACAGCTGAGGAAACTGAGGCAGATAGAGGTGAAGTGACTTATGCAGGGTGACACAGCTAATGAGTATGTGAGGCTGGATTTGAATTCAAGTCTTCCTGACTCCAAGCTCAGCACTCGATCCACTGAGCCACCTCGCTGTCTTGGTCTTTTTAGATTTATGTCTTCTATCTCCTATGCAAAACTGGTGTGTGTGTGTGTGTTTTACACTATGAGGTCGCTGGTTTGTAACTCTGGATGGAAGCCAACACAGAATAGTCAGACGATGAATCCAGCTTTTGTGACAATGCTGGGGATAAGGAACACCGATGAGATGAGCTTGACTGGCCACGGGACCTGGCAGGCCACAAGAACCACAGAGGTCACTGTCAGACCACAGCTGGAGTCTGATGTTCAGTCTGGGGCGCTACATTTTTGGAAGAATGTTAATAAGCTGAAGAGCATCCCCAAAGGGACCACCATGATTGTCAAGAGCCTCAGAGAGGAAGTTCTTGGTTTAAGGAAGTGAAGGTGTTGACTTTGGAGAAGAGACTTGGGTGGGGCCAGATAGTTGGGGAAATAAATTTATTCTTCCTGGCCCCACAGGACAGAAATTAGAGCACTAGGTGGAAGCTATAGGAGGCAAATTAAGGCTTGACATCAGAGGAAAAAAATGTTCCTAACAATAAGAATGGTCCCAATGTGGAAATGGGCTGTCTCGAGAGGTGTTGGGTTTGGCCTCACTAGCTAGAAGACTGTTGGTTGGCAGTAAAAGCTCTAATACTGGAACTCTTGCTCAT